TGAAGTGGTGTGGCTGCTGCAGGGTGCCGGAGTGGCACACCCAGGCATTCAGCTACGGATGCAGGATGAGCAGTTATGGAGACCCCTGGCAAAACAGAGAGCTGAACAGGGGGCTGAGCTGTTACTCTGGCAGAAGAAAGATGCCGCTGACTCTCTGGGGAATTTAATGTAACACCACACGGTTCATTTCCCACCAGATCGCCCCTGAAAACATTCATTTGGTCACCGTCTGGTTCAGAACCCAGAATAGAAATGTCCATGGCAGTCTGAGAAGAAGTGGTGTCGCAGCCAAGTACTATGTGTTTTTTCCTTTCAGAGGTCTGCCTGTCATTGTCCAAATTCATATTTTCATTGTCCTTCACAAACATAAAGTCAGAGTCTTTATTCTCAGTCTTTGGTTCTTTTAACTCAGAAGCAGAAAACCACAAACTCAGATTGGCTGCCTCACCCTCACCAGAATTACATAGATTAATCTTGGACACACAAGGCAGCATCTACCCCATAATATTGCCCAGAGTCAGTAACAGTCTCTGCATCAGCTCTAGCGGAAGCTTCGCCATTCCTAGCAAGCAAGTCAACTGTTATGGAAAAACCCCGTTCGAAAGTTGGACCCCCAAGGCTCTCTGTACAGTTCATTTCCTCTAAAGAAACGTCACGTTGTTCTCCTGTGACAGTCTTCACCTGTGACAGGGTTTCAGTCACCAAAGGGGCTAGTTCGACCACATGAGCTGCGTGTATAACTGAACCGTTCATAGAAACATGATTAATCAGTTCATGGCTAGGTTCCTGGACATCCATTAAGTCAGCACAACTGGGTAAAGAAGACTCATTCACGTTTGTTTTGCAGTCATGTGGTGGACTTTTAACCTGATCAGAGTCTGTGGTTACAGATACAGCAGTTACACTTACTTCTGATGGGACGGCTGGCACTAGGTTAACGCCAAGAGTCTGAATAAACTCTTCTGTGATTGGTTTGACAGAGCCATTAGCTTTAGCAGAGAACACATTAGGCACAAACGAAGCAAAAGTGACGCTGTCAGAGGGGATTGAAGCCTCATTACGCTCTGACTGACAGGAATCATGCGGCTCGGCCTGGTATTTGGCAGTCTCAGGCCTGCATTCCCCAGCTAGCCCCCCACCAGAAGCTGACTTAGACAGAGACTCTGAGTCATCTATGAATGGAGGTGCAGCTAACACAGAGTCTAATAGAGCTGTGGCTGCCAGTGGTGGTGCAGACTGTGAGCTCACTATATCAGTAGTGCTCCCAACCAACACCCCATCCTGAAATGATTTAGAAGAAACAAAAGAACATGATTCCAAATTTACACAAACTGAAGGTAAAACATGATCATTAAAGACAGTATCGGAGGCCCAGATCTCAGCCCCAGCATTCACTGTGCCTTGAGGGGTGCTGGAGCTACGTGGTTCAGACATGTGTCCCCCATCTTCTGGGGGGCACAATTCACTTTTAGAGTTCAGAACATAAACCACATTGCCATTACTGTCCTCTTGACCTGGAACACAAAACTCAGGTGAATTGTGCTTATCGAGTACAGGAGTGAGAGCATCACTCAGAGGTTGCTTTGAATGGTCCTCCTCTGATTTACCTAATAATTTGGTCTTACACAATTCATAACAAGTAGTAGAGTCACAAAATGAATGAGCTGAGGACCAGTCAGGTTGATCACTGGGTACAGACAGGGTGTCCTTATTTAAGTCACACCGCTCATGACCAGAGGTTATATCACCACCCTTCACACCAAACATGAGTTCGGGATCAACACTTTCATCGTTTATTAGGAGAACGGGTGGTGTTGAGGAGCACTGAGTCGCTATTGCTCCTCCAGCACATGTAGAAATTGTCTTTATCTCTGGAGCGTCTGCGAACCCTTCATGACAGTCACATTCCAGCAACTTAGGAAGACTTTGAGGCGAAAGATTGTCACTAACCTCTCTTATTAACGGAGTCCGAGAGGAAACGAGAGTTCCACCAACCTCCAGCTACTGCGTGGTGCTGCGGC